TCAAAAAAAAGGTTTTCTCATGCACATAAACATTAGCTATACATTTTTTAGGGATAAGATGATATAAACTTTTGAGTGCATTTATAAGTGAGACACGCTGTACAACTAATTTTTTTTTATGAAATTTTTATTCTAGACATAATATTTTTTTTGTTAATTTTCTAAGCCTGATTCAGCTTACATTCAAATTATTTTTGGAGGAGCGTGTGTTTTTCTTAATTTGAGCAACGCAATTAAATAAAACATAATTACACAATACTTATAAATCGTAATATTTTGTACATGACCGACTGCATTGCGGTCTTTCAAAATGCTGATCAAAATTCTTTAATCTTTTTTTATTACTAAATGTCAATTAATTCTACTTTTTGAAGAATTTGAAATTTAAAATTTAAGAAACTTTTTTTGGAATCATATTCTAGGCTCTCCCGCAATTTGAAATTACACCCGGTCGTAAAATTTTAAATTGAATTCTGATACGAACTTTTTTAAAATTTGTTTATACCGAAATTGACATGTATTCGAATACTAAAGAACAGTTGACATAATGACGTGCCGGCATAAGGTTGCTCTTATTTTTCTTTGCTTTCCTCTAACTAAATTTTTATATTAAAGAGTTTTACATAGCAATAGAGTATAGAATAAAAACTAAAGTTATTTTTATTTGAAAATTTTTTCAAACTCTAAATTGTATTTTAATTAAAACAAAATTGCTTCAACCTCTGTAAAATATACTTTTATAGTATCCTTTTTAATTTTAGAATGTTTATTAATTATAAATTTTACCCGAGAGCATTCAAGAAATGCTGCTCTATTTGTAATAACTTACGTAATAACTTTTAGTTATCTGTGGATGCAATTAAAACAAGCTATAATTAAATTAAAACAAGGTTGTTACGGATATTCGGAAATAAGAGTAAAAAATAGATGAAAAACGTTATTTATATTGCCACCAATCAACATGTCTTAAGCAACAATTCTATACTAGCATTTAAATTAGGACTCTCTTTTTAAAACGTATATTTTGAAATTTAAACTATGTATAATTTTGAGAATTTCTTCTTACAAAATAAGAAAACGGAAATTTTGGAACACTTCTTATTAATATTGAAATTGCTTATACAGTTGACGTCCAACCAAAAAATTTCTAAAAATGTAATTTAATAAATTATTCTCATTGCAGCTTAACTAAAATATTTCGTCATAAAAATTTTTCTTAGAAGCTATTACAAATTAAGCTATTACATGGTAGATTGCATTTATTAAAACAAGCCTATAAAAGCTTACAAATTTTATGTGTAATATAAAAAAAACTAATGGCGAAAAAAACAAGCTGTGCATTTTTTGCTTTGATGTGAGCTTTTAATGACAATTTTAATTCTACAAATTCACAAACTGTGGCTTATTCTATTCTGCAAGAAAATCTACAAATTCAATTTTTATACCCTGCACTTCGTGAAGGGTATATTAACTTTGGTATGGAGTTTGTAACTACTTGAAGGAGTCATCTGCGATATGGAAATATATATATATTCTTGCTCAGTGCAAAATTCTGCGTCGATTTAGACATGTCCGTCCGTCCGATCGCACGATAACTCAAAAACGAATAATGCAATCGACACCAAACTTTCACAAGTTTTTTCTTTTGTGCCAAGGACGAGCTCTATTGTTATTGGACTAATTCGGACAACGGGTTCGGGTAGCTGCCATACAATTCAAAGAGTTTATTTTAAATATTTCAAAAACTAATAAAGCTATAAATACAAAATTTTGTATACATGTGTCCAATTATATTCTACACATGCTCTAAAAATTATAATGGGATAGCTGCACCGGTTCGGGTGGTTGCCATACAACTCCAACAGCAAATTTTTTATATTCGGCAAAATAATAAAGTCAGATTCATGAAACTTGGCAGTCATGTGTCCAATTATAGGTCAAATATATTTCTGAAGTTTTAGAGGAATTGCTTGACAGGTTCGGGTACCTGCCATACAACTCCAGAAGCTAATTTTAAATATTTGGAAAAATAATAAGGTCAGATTCATGAAACTTGGCAGTTGTGTGTCGAGTTATAGGTCAGATATATTTCTGAAGTTTTGGTGGAATTGCTTGACAGGCTCGAGTAGCTCCCATACAAGTCTAAAAGCTTATTCTTAATATTTGGAAAAATAATAAAGTCGGATTCATGAAACTTGGCAGTTGTATGTCGAGTTATAGGTCACATATATTTCTGAAGTTTTGGTGGAATTGCTTAACAGGTTCGAGTAGATTCCATACAAGTCCAATGGTTTAAATATTTGGAAAAATAAAGTCAGATTCATGAAACTTGGCAGTTGTGTGTCCAGTTATAAATCAGACATATCCGTGAAATTTCTATAGAATGGTTTCACAGGTTTGAGTAATTGCTATACAACAACGAAAGGTGCAGGGTATAATTCAATCGGTTTATACCGACTGAAACGTTTTTACTTGTTTTTTTCTTTTTTGGTTGCCATTTTCCGATGTTGTGCTTTATTGCAAACAAGTTTTTTCTCTTCAATGCATCAACCATATTTTTTTAGTAAAAAACTTAAAAAAAATCACTCGTATTTGCCTATACAACCTACTTTGATTTTAAAAGCAATCGGAAACAAATCACTGCGGGTAATTTTACATGGGACAAAATAATAAGAACAGAAAAAAAAGTTAATTTGTGAACAAATGGTTGTGGTTGGAAATTTTTTGTTTTCAATAATTTTAACGAAAACGTTTATGCTTCTTTAAATAACGGGTGTGTGTGTACAATTTTTGTGAAAAAAATTTCAATCAAATTGGTTATATCAATGAAAATTTTATTTGATTTTTCCGGGACAATAATATGTCCGCTTATAGCTTTTAAATTAGGCAATCAGTAAATTTTATATTGAAACTTTGCGGCAAATTAGTAGAATTTAAAGATTTATTTATGGAAAAATAAAGCTCTTAAAAATGCCAATTAAATCTTCAATATACGTAGAAAAATAGATATGTTCTAGAATTATTCAAAATAAGAGCTTTAAGCCATCTTTTCTTAAGCATTAAGTTTTGCACAAAATTTTTATTTTTAAAATAGGCTCGCTGCGGCCGTATACTTCACAATTCCTAAAATACACAGAATAAACTGTAGACTTACTTCAGATTCAATATCAAACTTAAAGAATACAATTTTTCTTAAAAAATTAATAGCGTGTCGAAATATTAAAAAAAATCATGGTTTATTCATTGAACTTTGTAAATGAAATTCAGAAAACCTACAATAATCTACAGAACTGTAATAAGTGATATACAGTTTTTATTTTGGTTGTTATAGAATTTAACGTTTGATATTACACATGTTATTTTTTTTTCAAATTTTTAATTAATATATTTTTTCTTATATTGTGATAATGCGTTATGGAAAAATTCTAATAATTTTATTGAAATAATGTCGGCCGTTTCATACATGTTTCGGTATCGGTAAGAAACATGTTTAAGTGAAACTACTGGTAATTTTTTATTTAGCTTTTATAATATTTTCAAAATTATTATTTTAAAATTTAATTGATATTTAATATTAGACCATTGTTAAGTGCATTCAACCAGTCTAGATTAATTATGGGTTAATTGTATATGTAATAGTTGTTTCTGAATAAAAAAATATTTATTAAAAATCTTTATACTAAAATTGCCGTTTATTTTCACAGCAGTATTGTAAACAAGAAAATTATACTATTATAATTTATTTTTAAATAGTAGTTTTGGGATGACGCAAAAACAATATATACATACAAATTTCTGGTTGAGTATTGTTATTGAAAAATTTATGTTTACGTAAAATTCTTAGTTGAAATTTTTAGAAAAAGCATTTTTTAATTATATAGAACTTCGTCTAAAGATCTTGAAGTATTTTTCAATCAAGAGGAGAATTTGATTTCGAAATCGTTAAAAAATAAGATACAATTTTAGATGATATTATTGAAAATTAACTCTGTATATTGAGCGGGCAAACACTATAAGATAAAAAAATATAACAATATTTGCAAGCCTTTAGGCTTTAGGAACGAAATGAATGAAAGCGATGTTCTATTGACAAAATTCTCTTGTTTTCACATAACATTGCATGTGCTTAAAAGCAATATTGAAATTATAATTAAAAAAAAATTTGTATAAAATAAAATAGATTGTCGTAACTAATATAATTTCGGCATAACGGTATAGGCCTTTTCATAAACGCAGTATATCGCGATATATAGCGAGAACTGGGCTTTATTTGTGTTCATAAACAGATGTTGCTAATCAAGTTTGTTCATAAACATTGTTAATCTATCTCAAAAATATTTAAATTATCATGACTAGCGCAGTTAAATTAGATGTACTTTTTTACTAGTTTTTGCAGTTTAGTTTTACATTTTTAATTGTTAATTGCTGTACTTAAATACAACAAAATTTCTTTTTGCTTCAGCTTTCTTTTTTTGTTTTTCTTAATTTTTATTTATCGTGAAATAGAATTTTTCACTATTCGGCCGAAATGAATAAATTTTTTTTTTGCTAACATTTGTTGTTTATGAACACAGTACTGAAAATTCAAAATAGCAAAAGTTTTTATACAACTGTCAAAAATATATTGCGTATGTATCACATTATTGTGTTGCAGTATTATGTTTATGAAAATCTCTTATATTTTAAAATGGCAACTGTTAGTTTACAATATTGATTGCGAAGAATATATGTATATGTATATGTAGGTAGATCCGAAAATCCATTTTTTGAAATATTTGAGAGCCTATGAAATAAAAATTTAAAGCATACAATCAATTAAAATTTGAAACATTTCTTTGGGTTGTGTGTAGTTGTGTATGGGAAATAATTTCTTAAATAGTTAAATTATAATTATTTCGTATAATAACTTGACTAAGATTTTCTTTTTTAAACGGCACTTAGAGAAAACATTGTAGTTTATTAAAAAAATATAAAATTAGGAATTATTTTTTTTAACTTACGATTTGAAGTTCTGTCATATATTTTTTCCACCAGAGAAACTTTGAATATTGTGGTCCCATAGCAGCCATCATATAATAGAAATACATACATACATGTACAAAATTATTAAGAATATTTGGGAATGTCGCGTTTCCACCTATATATATATATGAAAAAAATGTGTTAAATATCTATGTAATTAAGTAAATATTGTATACATATTTAATGTTATTGTTGAATATAGAAAATAGTTTGATTGAAAATATTTTTTTACATGATACAATTTCATTCATAATGTAATATTAATTTTATTATTTAGCAAATTCATTTTTGAATTCTAATTCGCTTTGAAACAATAATGGTTTTCCTATTTTACCAATTTCCTAATTAAATAGTTTTGAATTTAAGCATAAGCCCATTTCAAAATTATTAAAATTTCCAAAAAAACGTGGTAAAAAATAGTACAAATATTTTAATTACCTGCTAAAAATTTGACTAAAACCCATGTTTCAAGTGGTGTCAACGAATGATGATAAACATGTAACCATGTAATTTGAGATTTTTTCTTTCTTAATACAAAGAACACTGTATCGGCGAATTCAGTCAGTTTTGATAAATAATAAATATAGCACAAATTAAGCATCTGAAATATAAATGAAAATAAAATTTAATTAAATTAAAATCAAAAATTTTCTTATATAAAATAAGTAGCATAAATTATATTCCTATATTAAAATAATTTCATAATACCATAAAAATAATTATATTAACATTTCATTTCATACAGCATTGTACATTTTCTTTACATTTTACAGAAGTCCAAAAAATAATATTTATTGATGTATTCGCATAAATGTCAAAAATTTATGTAAAAAACTTTCATACTTAAACATTAATTATTTCAAGTTTTAAATTCACAAAATATTTTTAGTAATTATTGGAAATAGTAAAAATTTAACTATTTTATGAAATATGGTAACACCCTAAGTTTTAAATAATATTCTGTCAGTTTGTGTAAACATTTAAAATAAAATAAATTTAATATATTTGACATTTATGAATTCTTAAAACAACCATTTATGTAAATTTTAACATAAAACCTGTCAAAATTAATAAAAAAGTAAAAATTCTAGAGTTCGAACTGTAAATAAATTATAGATTTATGTATTATGTATTTATAAGTAGCATATAATATTATAATTCATTGTAATTTTGTAATGTATAAGTTGACTATATGAGAATATGAAAATAAAAAGTAATTTTTAAAATTGAAACGGTAAAGAATATTAAAATATTTGCTTGTACTTTAGATATTTCAAGCTGATAAACCTTTGGTATATTTTTAATTTTATTTTTCCGGAAAATAGTTTAAGCTAATGGTTTTTTTTAATAATTCCTAAATAAAACATAAATATGAAAATATTTCAGTGAGGTAAATTAAAAGTTTAATTAGTAAAATTAAATATTTTTAAATATAATTTAAATTTGCAATTAAGTTTTAAATTGTTCAAAACTATTGTTTTTGCCAAATTTTTTGTAAATAATATCCCAAGCTTTTCATAATCATCTAAGCTTTTAATTCTTTAAAGAAAATATAAGGCGAAACATAAACATATTATGTATCGAAAATTACATAATATGCATTTGCTCACAATTACAATAAATTTAAGAAAATTCGGAAAAGAAGAATGAAGAAATTTTTTAATTTCAATATTTAAGTGATTTAAAAATTGTGGTTGATAGTAGAATTTTATGAAGAACACAATATAAATTTCATTTAAAATTTATATTAATCGAAATCACACCTTAAACAAAAAATAAAAAACAAAAGAAAAATAAAAAAATGCATAACGCAACTATCGGCAGAGTAACCGAAAACTATTTCAAGGTGTTTTACGATTTTGAAAATTTTTTTTCTCCTCTGCTGCAATTTTAGCAACAGAAAAAAAATATATTTTAGTTAACATTTTATTGTTTACTTTTTCAATTTTAAAACTGTTATGTAGGTATGTATGTGCAGAAATGCATAAATGTATAAATATAATAATTAATTGTTAAATAAATTTTTATATGTCCATAATTGACACTAAAAATTCATCTTTTCGCATAAAATTTCGAACTGGTCGTTATTATTTTACACTTTGATTTGTTGTTTTTAGCTTTTTAACAGGTCTTTAAAATATTTAAAGAAAAAACAATCATTTTACATTTTGTAATTGATTTTTATTTCTTTTTATTTGTTTTTTTTTTTCGTGGGCCGAACTGTGCTGCATTCACTGGACATTGAATGTTTTTTTCTTTTTTTTCAATACATACACGCGTTTAGTTGTTTATTTTTAAACAAGGCATGAAAAAACGCAATAATTGTTACATTTATCATTATTTCAAAGTTACAAAAGTAAAATAAACAAAAATTTTTTTTAATTAATAGTATAAGAATTAAACAATTTTATATTAAATGTACGCAGTTAACATTTTGTGTATTGAAAATGTATATTGAAATGTTTAAAATAAGAATATACAGTTTAATATTCAAAATTTCGGACCATTATTGGCTGCAATTTCTTTGAGAGAGCGTAAATACTCTGAGAATTCTTTTGAATAAATTAAAGAGTCTAAAATATAAATTTAAATATTAAAGATTTTGCATTTACATATTTTCAATTTATAGAAATACAAAGCCACCTACCAGAGTATATATATCAGACTATTGTGTATAGGAGTGCAAACAATAATAAAATAATATATAAATATACATATTGTATTAAAATAGCACTTTCAAAAATAGTTCCGTAATCAAATCGAGTCGGAATGAATTTAATTATTTTTGTAATATTAAATTTTATCAATTAAGTTTTTTATTTTTTATAATTAATATCAGGCAAGAATTAATATCATAAGCAAATATTGTAATTTATTGTGAAACTTCATTATTTTTAATTCTGTTTAAATGATAAACAATTATTTGAAATAGAAAGTAGTCTGAAAAACGAATAATTGAGAAGTTTTGTATTATAGAGAATTCAGTTTGGGTGAGTGAGTTTTCGTTGTAATTCAAAGGTTAATTCTAAATTTCGTACATAATTTTTTGAACATATTTATAATTCCATACTCGTAACTATAATTCAGTTTTAAATTATTCCATGTTTCAACTAAAAAATTGGAAATGATTTCCATTATTGCTAAGTATTTCTTGATAATTTTCGAAAAGTTTTAATCAATTATATAAATTCAACTATCGGATCAAATTCGGATTGAAATCCGAATCAAGGAAACAAAATGTCTAAAGCAATATTGGACGGTACTGTATTTCACTTTAGTTTTTTAGCAAGTTTTTCTGTTTTGTTTTCCTTATAATGTGCCTTTATTTATTTCATATATATTTACACATTTTTAAATTAATTTAGTAATACTTTTTTTTTAAAACAAACATAAAATAGTTAAAATTATTATTATAAAGTCAAAATTAACAATGTTTATACATTGTACATTTATGGTATATGTACATATATCGGTTGGAAATTTAATGTACATAACGTTAAGTGTTTTATAAAAGTCAAATTTTATTACAAAATTTTTCTTTGGTATATTAAAGAAATTAATGTAATGCCTTTAGTATAAATCTAATGTTTAATGTGTAGCAAAAGTAAGTAGGTACATAAATATGTATAATATGTATAAAAGTATGTGTAAAAGAGTTATTCATTACCGTGAACTTAATATTCTCTGAACTGTTGAATAAGCTATTAAATTGGGAGACTTGATAATTAAAAATTTTAATAGAAAAATAAACAATAATATTTACATGACTACAAGTATTTAAATATAGTACACGTTAAAAGGAATAATTGAAAATTTTAGTTTCCGTTGAATATTCTCTGTTATTTGATTTCAAAAATAAAATTTTGAAACAAAATTCTAAATTAGATGAAAATCAATAAGTATGTGTACATATGTGAAGATAATGAAAATGAACAGGTTTTAAATCTGAATTAATAATAGTGATTTAAAACTTGTAAAATTTGAAAAGGGAAATGAATATGTCGAAATCTAAAACGAAAATCTTGTGTTATCAGGAATAGTGTTTAGAAATTCGAATTATTAATTGTAACTTTAAATTAAATTAAAAATTTTTTTAATATTTATTTTACATACATTATTAATCTACAATATATGTAATATATACCCGAAAAATTTCTTTAAAATTGTTGAAAGTATAACTTGCACGGTCACCTCATATTAAAAGTCAACATTTTCACGTATGACAATTCATTTAATTTCTTCTTTTTTGTTTTCAATTTTTAGGTTTTATAACTTTCAAGGTAATTTTCTTAAGGTCGTTTTCTCATTTTTATCTGTAAACACACACGTACAAACGCAGAAATACTTATAAAATTTATTTTGATTTTTCTCTGTTTGTTTATTTTCGTTTTCCCTTTTTTAAAACGTCACAAAAAACATTTATTCGTACTATGTATGGAGAGAATGCACTCACAAGAAAAATAGAAGTTCAGCGATTTTAAGCGAAGAAAGGGGAAAAATTTGTAATAGTAATAATAATAAAATTAATAGCAAGATTTTTTCGCTCAAATTTGTCACTATACAAAATAAATAATTAAAGTCTAATTATTTTAAAAGTGTCTGGCTGGGTTTATTTGATTGAAGAAAAAAATTAAAATTTTTTTTTCTCAAATATATTTTTACATTGAGCACGAGTTTTTTAGAGTTCAAAAAATAAAGAAGAAATAATAATTGAGACTTAAATTTGAAAATGAGAATGAAAATTAGAAAAAAAATTAATAATTAGCATTTAATTGTGATTTTTTTAACGCAATTTTCATTGGTATACGAAATTTTTAAAATGACTTAAAATAAATTAAAATGTCTGTTTGTCCGCATTTTGGTTTTCAAAAACCTGCAAAATTCATGCAAATTAAACAATTAACGTCGACGAAAAATAAATTTTATGAAAAATATTATCGCTCAATTACGCTAAAAAATATGCCTAAAATTATGCTAGAAATTATTATCAGTTAATTTAAATTCAATTATAAAATTCTAATTTGACAAATTAATATAATTTTAGGGCTAAAATTTGTTTACAAAAATATTAAGTCTATTAATACTTCCGTCATTTAAATTTTTATTACTTTTAGTTTAAGCTTTTTAAATAATTGCTGAAGCATTTAAGAAACATTTTTAACTGAAATAGCTTTACCAAAATTATACTTAAATATATTTACGCTAAATTGAATAATTAATTTTACTACTCAAGTGTTAAAATTTTGTAATAATTTTTTTTTTTGTTAGCATAAAGAATATTTTCATTTTGAAATTTATGTAGCTATAGATATGAAAAAAATTAAATAAAAATTAGGAACTAATTGGAAAAAAATTTCAATCATACTTGTATATAGAGTGTTACTTAATGGTGTAAATTAATAATATGAGGACATCTTATCATATTTTATTTATTTAAATTTTATGAAATTTTATGAAGGTCAATATCATAATAATGTTTATTGTACATAAATGTACGTACATCATAATTGAAAACAAAAACAAAACGTGATAAAAATTATAAGTTAGATTAAAATATTTAATTCTTGATTTTCAATATTAAATATTATTAATTAATTATAA